CCGCCGTGGTCTCCCCTCCCTCCGCTCTCCACCTGAGCCACAACTGTCAGGACATTTTTTGAAGAATAGAAATAGGAGGAAACATAAGGTCTTAGAGGATGAAAGTACGATTGCAATTAGGCCAGGAAGAGAACACCTACACTTGTGAATGGATTCGTCTGTCTACAGTTACCATTTGTTGTGTTTGTTGTCAGCCAAGAACGGGGCACTGCCTTGTCTCTTCAAATTACACTTGCCAAGGCATTAAGAAACGCCTGAGTGGACACCTAGGCGCAGAGGAGCAAGTGCTTGTGACTCAGTGGCTAAGCCAGCTCCTGGAGCCGTCTCGTGCTTATAGGAAGAGGCTCAGACCCTTTGTACAAGGCCAAGGGTATGCCCAGGTCATAAGAAGACGGAGAGGCCTGGCATGAGCAGGGGCTGCAGCCTCCCTCTGGGATACCAAGCACCATCCACAGCAGTGCTTCCTGTGGCCTCTTAAGATGCTTTGAAAATTATAAATGACTCAAATTCTGGAAAAGAAAAGATACGGTATTCATAGTCTACCATCCTTCACTTATGTCTGACGTCACACAGGCAATGCCTTGATGTCGGAATGACACTGGCTGTTTAGAGAATCCTGGAAAATGGGGAACAGTCAGGAAGGAAGATTTATCTTTCGAGAAAATGTAACTAAGTTCCCAGGCTGGTCAGGAGGCAACTGGTGGCAGGAGGGCAAGCCTGCCGCAAAAGGGCGCTGCACTCCTGCTCCTGCCTGGAGGAGGCAGCCTCTGAGCACACACAGCCTCGGCCTTTGCCTTTGAGCTCAGCCAGATGATTTTTCTTAGAGCTTTAATATTTTTCATTATGGAAAAAATTCACGTAAAACTCACACACACACAAGTAGAGAGAATAGTATTATGAACCCTCTTAGACCCCTCATTGTTCCAGTGATTTAAAAAGTACTGTGCAGTAGCTTTGCCTGTTCTAGAATTCCACGTGAAAGAGATTGTATGCACTCTTACGTCTGGCTGGTTTAATCCGGCCTAGCATCTGTGAGAGCCATCCTTGCTACAGTGCGTAGCAGCCATTTGATCGCAGTGTAGTATTCTGCAAGTGGCGATACTACAGTTTGTTTATCCATTTATTACTGCTGATGGACGTTTGGGTTATTTCCAGTTTGGGACTAGAATAAAGCTGCTATGAGCGCTTGGGTACAAGTCTTGGCATTTTCATTTCTCAACAAGACAACTTCTTGATAAACCTTTTGCTTTGACATCCTGAACATCTTTCCCTGGGCCAGGGGTTCTCTGGGCAGAAGAAATGGGTGTGCTGACTTGGGAGCTGAGAGCGTCACCCAGCGTCAGGTTTCTGATTACAGAACAGTCTCTGCGAGTTGTGTTTGTGACTAGGTGATACACACACTGCAAAGTAAATTTTAAGGTACCAAGAGGCAAAGACTGAACTCCATCTCCAGTCCCTCAGTTGTACGGGTCCCCTCTCAGAGGCCACCACTGGGACTAGCTTCTTTTGTCCCTTCCAGAAATATTTTATGCACAGAAGCAAGGAGGCAGCTCCTCTGCCCTTCTTCTACATATGGGGTATTCTATTCACAACGCTGTGCTCCTTGTTTTTAGAAATTAATAATATATTTTGGAGATCATCCCATACTGACATACAGAACTGTCTTCAGCTATTAAAAGGTAGGTGGTATTCTTATCTTCAAGCAACTCCCACCTTTGTGGGATCACATATCTTCATTTACGTCACAGAAAGATTTCAAAGGAAAGCAAAGCTTGCCTTTGAGCCATGGTGTAGGTAGCAGTAAATAGATGAATTATCTTTAACTTTTTTTATTTGTAACTTTTTCAGTTTCTTAAAATTCAGGAACTGAAGCCTTTGTGACCTTAGGCTGGGCAAAGATTTCTTAGATAACAACACCAAAAGCGCAATCCATGAAAGGACAAATTGATAAATCAGACCATTCAAAATTTTAAACTTCTGTTCTTCAAAAGATACTGTTAAAAGAATTAAAAGACAAGCTACACACTGAGATAAAATATTTGCAAATCATGTATATGACAAAGGACTTGTACCTAGAACATATGAAGAATTTTCAACATTGAACAAGAAAACCCGGTTTTGTTAAAATACACAAATTTTTTTAAAAGACATTTCACTGAAAAAGATACACCAATGGCAAATAAGCACAAGAAAAGATGCTCAACATCACTCACTGGACATTAGGGAAGTGCAGGTTAAATCCTCAGTGAGATACCACGATATACCTACTGGAGTGGCTGAAAGTAAAGATGGATATATCGCGTTGGCAAAAATGGGAGAACTGGAAGTCTTAATAACAACGCTGATGGAAACATAAAATGGTACAACCACTCTGGAAAATAGTTTGGCAGTTCCCTAAATAAAAACTACGTCTACATCTACTATGATTGTCATTCTACTCCTAGATGTTTACCCAAGAGAAATGAAAGCATCTGTCCACACACAAAGACTCATACACACATGTTCTAAGCAGCTTTTTCTGGTAATAGCCAAAAGCTGTTACAGAAACAGCTCAGACATGCATCAGTGGCTGAGTGGACACGTGGCAGAGCCACAGAAAGGAATACTACTGCTCAGCAATGAAAAGGAGTGCACTATTGATGGACACAACGTGGATAGCTCTCAAAATAACTGCCAAGTGAAAGAAGCAAGACAAAAAAAGAGTACATATACGAATCCATTTATATATAACTCTAAAAACTGCAAACTATTGTATAGTGACTGAGCAGTGTTGCCTGGAGACCAGGGAGTGGGAGCGGCGGGAGGGGACTGCAAGGGCGGAATCGTGAAGAGGTTCCCTCTCTTGATCGTGGTGGTTTCATGGCTGTGTACACACGTCAGACTCATCAATCGTCCTCTTCAAATCTATGCTGTTAACTGTGGGTCAGTTATAACTCAATAAAGCAGTTAAAAACAGCAATCAATTGATCAGGGACCACAAACATTTATCAAATATGACCCAGTAATTCTACTTTGAGGTGTTTATCCAAGAGCAACAGAAACATGTCCACATAAGACTGGGACACAGAGCTCAGAGCAGTTTTGTTCATAACAGCCCCAAACTAATGCCCATCACCAGGTGAATGGACAGCTGGAGTTACGTATTGCTGGCCCTAGACCAGTGAATGGATAAACAGCCTCAGAAAAACGTCAGAACGTAGGGCCACATGCTGTATAGTTCCATCTGTATGTAAAGCATTAGAAAAGATAAAACCATCAAGACGGAAAGCAGATGAGTGGTTACCTGAGGCTGGAGTGGAAGTGGGGGTGACTGCAATGGGCTTGAGGAGCCTTGGGGTGCCGGGAGTGTTCTAACACTGGGCTGTGATGGTCACCCAACTCTGAATTCAGTGAAACTCACCCAACCATACACTTAGAATGGGTGAATTTTACAGTCTGTAAATTATACGTCCGGAGTGCTGTTAAAGTCCATGTTAGGGGCCGGTGTCTACGCCGCTGCTCCACCACTGGTGCCTGGCAGAGGGCTCCATAGATGCTTGCTAACTGGAGGGCATTTACCAGAACTTCAAAGAATTAAGTGACAGAGGAACGTAACCCTTCTCGGACATTTATTAGCCCTTTGTAGGCTTTTTGTCCTGTGTCCACAAGTCTGGACACACTTGTGGACGTAGTGTCGTCTTGCTCTGTTTAAAGATGTCTAGGAACTGACCAGCTCTCCTGAGAGCTCCTCCCTGCTGTCACGCTCAGACCTGCAGCCAGCATGTGGCAGGGCAGGACAGCACAGGTGGAGTGGAATGTGTCCTTTAGCACACGTGTCCTGTGCCGAGCTCTCTGCCGTGTGTCTCTGGTTCCTGTGACAAAGACAGGCGATGGGTGGGAGCTGGATGTGGAACTGCAGACTCAGGCCTTGGGATGTCCTGCGGGGCCGACTCAGCAGGTCTGGGTGGAGGCCCCACGATTTGTGATGTTGATGATGCTGGTTAGTCACCTGAGGACCTCTGACCCGAGGGTTGTAAGGCCCCTTCAAAGGAATGGCAGAGGACACACAGCAAAAGGTACATAGGAACCAGCAGGAGACAGTATCTGAGGGCAGCCTAAAGCCCTGCAGCATCAATTACAGAAACCAGCTGGACAGCAGTCAGGAGCCAGAGGCTCTGGACCAGACGGCGGGTGAGGGTGATGTCAGCACCCAGGGCAGGGCGCCCCCTCGCAGGCCGACCTCCTCCCACCTAGCACCCCCAGGCCAATGTCCTCCCACCTAACAGCCCCCAGGCCCACTCAAGGTGAGCCCATGGGTGGCCTTATAACCCCTGGCGATCACCCTAACTTTCAGGGAGCTCCTGCCACCTGGTGTCCAGAGAGGATACTACAAGAGCCCTGGACGGCCCTCTCAGAGGAACCGAGGCCCCCAGAGCCCAGAACTGTGCTGGGATCACTGTGAGGCTCAATGTAAGGAAAAACTAGCTGTTTCTTAAAACGTCGATTAAGTACTAAATCCCTACAAAGATAGGCATATAAAATAATTATAATAAATATTTTTAATTACATTTTCAAACATGAAAGCATAAATGTTAATATTTGATTATTAGAAAATATACACAGCATTTCTCCCTTGTGTTAATATAAACAATGGCTTATGGTAACACCCACTTAAAATGAAATCTTTTAGGCACTTGGGTGTAGAAAGTGTCAGGGAATGAAATAACAATTTTACTTTACTGCTACTTGTAACAGAACAACCAAAATTAGATCTGATTAAATATTTTACTTTCAACACTGCTAGCATACTGATTTAAGAAAAAATACTGTGACCACACACATCCATGTAACTTACAAAGTTCCAGTATATTTAAGGGAGAAATTTCATTGATAACAACTGTTAAGATTTCAAGTTCTTTTTAGTCTGTTCACTGAGATATCAAATTTCAGGAGACAGAACCCAAAGGAAGATGAAATTTCTTTTTAATCACTTTGGCCTTTTTTTCCCCTTTTTTGTTCAATAGTGAAGATCTTTCCTCGTGGACATTTCAGCAGGATATAACCAAGAATCCTCAGCAGTGCAGGGGAGGCTCAAAAAAAAAATGCAGCTAATGTGGCTGCCAGTATGAGCAGCAGACCTTTATTTTAACTTCAGATTAGCTGTGGATTTTTGGAGACCTCTCAGTGAACCGTGTGAACAGGATGTAAGATGACAGAATCCACTCTAAGCAGCAGGTCTCCTGGGAAGGATAGTCTTCTTGCTGTCAGAGTGTTGCTTGTGATACGTCCTGGCTGTTGACAAAAAGGTGCCCTGTTTACGAGGTTTAAAGGCCACAAGTTCCAGCGCAGGCAAGGACACAGGTGTGGCGCTGGCTCCCATGCCAGCCGTCAATGCGAAGCCACGAGCCCGCGCTGGTCAGTGTGTGGCAGGCACGGCCTGCAGGTGCTGCAGCAGCTGCTCGCAGTAGGCGGCGGAGCGGTGCTTGTGGAGCACGGCCTCCGTCTCCCTCACCAGGACGTCCGGGAACAGGGCGCTGCCCTCTTTGAGGACCTCTGTAAAACAGGAGAACACCCGAAGATGCCGGGAGTAAGCATCAAACCAGTCCTGCCGGTACGTGTGCATCAGCTTAATAGCAAAGCTAAAACACCTATGAAAGCATGTTCAATTTTCCTGATGCTGCTGGGTTAGTACACAACACTCACAATATGGACAAAACTTACAGAAAATAATCTTCCCAGAGTTGCCAGCAGACTGGGAAATAGAGGCACCTTTCAAACAGCCCCAGGGTCTTTAGGTCGCATTTTTGGCCTCAGAAACAGTTTCTGCATTAACAAACTGGCTTAGAAAAATGAGCAATTTTCTTATATTCACTGATGCTGATTCATGCGACATACAGTTATTGCAAACCTACTGCGTGCGGGCGCTGTGGACACAGCAGGAAACGAAACTCCATCCTGTACAGTTCGCATTTCAGCAGGGGAGCGGTGGCCAACGACCAGAATCAAGAAGGCAAACGTGTCGCGTGCTCATGGTGATGTGTGAGAGGGAAAGAAACACGAAGCCAAGGCAGGCAGTGGGCGCTGCAGGGCAAGGGGGCTGAGGGGCATGGTGGGGGGCCGCTGTGGTGATCAGGCAGGAGACGACCAGATTCTGCCGTTGGGTGTGAAAGGGGGAGACCAGCAGGACTTCAAGTCGCAGCCCTGAAGCTCAAGGACGGACGACCACTGGGGGTCGTCAGGATCCTGCAGGGAGGGGGGGCAGTGGTTCCGGCAGTAAGGCTGTGGTGCCCACCACACCTTCAGTGGTGTCCACCAGGAAGCTGGACGCAGCTTTGGGCCTGAACACTGGCCACTGCTGTCGTTTTAGGCAATTTCCAATGACTCTGATCCCCGCCTTCTTTCCGTTATCCGGAGAGCACTGACGCAGCTGCCGGGTAATCCGGTGCTGGTGCACTCACTCACGTGCAGACCACTTGACTCCGGGTCTCCAGGCAGAGGTTCTCAAAGTGTGCTCCCAGGATCCCAGGGCCTCAGGACCCTTTGGGGGGCCTGTGAGTCACAACCACGTTCACAGTAACACTCGAAGTTACCCGCCCGTCACCGCGCTCACGTTGGCACTGACGGTGCAGAAGCCAGCTCAGGCCCACAGCCTTCCCTGCTGCAGACTCACCTTGAGCACACAGGCTTTGAGGCGTGTGTGATGAGTGCAGCACAAAGCGCCCGTACGGGGCGGTGAAACCGAGCTGGGAGCTGAGCTGGCAGCTCTCCCCAGAGCCTTGGTTTTCCTCGACAGCTCAGCTGACCGAAACAAACTTGAAGTGCAGACCTGGTACTTGGCAGAACATTTTCTTGAAAATGAGTCAAGTGAGTCTATCACCCCAAGGAGAGTAACTGACAGTATTTGTGGCCAAGGATAAAATTCAAACTTTTAAGCAAAAAATCAGAATTATAAAAAACTTGTCTCTGCCACCATGAGCTTAGACTCTTTCCCGAGATCAGTGCTAACAATGTGATTTTTCTGACACTGCACAATGAATGTATCCACACTGGGAAGATACACATAATATTTTCCAAGTGACATTACAAAAGCGAAGCGGCTATGTTCGAAGTGTGAGAGGGACCAGTGGATTTTATAAGAGCACGAAAGGTTCCCTGACAGGTTGCAGAGTCTACCCTGCAGGTACCTTCAGGAAGCTGCACCTGTCAACTGTCGGCACAGCACCAAGGACGACAACCCACAAGCACCAGAAAAGGCCGCTGTTAATAAAATACTCTTCTCTTTCCCAACTATGTATGAAGCCAGAGGTGAGGCCAAGCTTTTTCCATGTATTTCAGCCAAAACAACGTGTCTCATAACTGACCCAACACAGTAGTGACGTGCAGGTCTGGGTGTCTTCCTGAGCTAGACATCGAGAGACTTGCAAAAATGTGACACAATGCCACTCTTCTTGCTAATTGTTTTGTTTTGGAAAATATGTTTTTCAAAATACATGTTATGTTGATACAGAATGGGTACTATTATTACTTTAATCAAATTAACAGGATTTAAAATTTTTCTCAGTTTTAATTTCTATAATAGTCAATATCAGTGGCTACAACCCACAAAGCCTTGGCATCGCCAGCAGCTGTGCTGAGGCTGCTGAGGGAGGGCCGGGTCCCCTGAGCCCAGGGCCACTGCCCGTCGCCTGTGCCCCCTGCGGCTGCTCAAGCCACTCAGCCGGGAAGACCCCAACTCACACACTCAGCACAGGTATCAGAACTGCATACAAGTCATTAGAAATCTTACCTAAAACTGCATCCTGGACGGCACTCTCTGGGTCGTCAAGGTACACGAGGAGTTCTTTATACAGGTACTGAACACTGCTCTGATAGTAAGACTTCCCATTGGCGCTTTTGATGCACCTCAGCCAGGTGATTAAGGTAGAGGCAGCTGCTATCCTCACGTCATTGGAGACATCATCCAGACGTTTTAGGAGTTCTGGAAGGAGGGGGCCAGGATAAGAGTGTGTGAGATTCTGGAGCAGACATTTCACATGTGAACTTCCACTGAAGGTGTCCCCTTCACACACTTGTGGGGCACCCGCCCTCAGGTCCCAGGAAACACACACCTCATGGGGAGACTTCCTGGCACCTAGAGCCCACTACAAGGTGCACCCAGTGTCCTGGAACTCCTGGGCCCCAGCAGATAGGGCAGAGGAGAGTGACCCAGGCCCCTCGAGGCCCCTCTGATCATCTGCCCAGTGGGCTCAGACAGCCACTTGCATTTCTGCTGAGCCTCTGTGAAAAGACCATTCTGATACTGGAAGCAGAGCAATGACCCTTGCTGATGGCTAGAAACTTTCAAGTTGATGGATAAGATTTTTATTTTTATGTTTTGTAGAGATGGGGTCTTGCTATGTTGCTCAGGCTGGCCTTGAACTCTTGGCCTCAAGTGATCCTCCTACCTCAGCCTCCCAGCGTGCTGGGATTATAGGCATGAGCCATCTGCCCACACTTGGATAAGATTTTTATCAAATTTATGCTTTTCTCCCATCATCTTAAAAAAATCTTTGGCACCTAATACCACGTATCTTCTGGACATTCTCAGGGATCGAGCCCGTAAAACGAGTCAGCAGGTGAACACTGGCGCATGCACAGCGTTGGGCTGGGCGTGCACTGTCTTCACACTCAGAGAACATGCTCTGCCCGCAGCAAGCTGTTCCTGGCTTACTGAAAGGCATGAACAGCATCCAAAGCTCGGACGTCCCACCAAGATGACAGGACTGTGAGATGGGACCCACTGGGTCAACTCCCAGGAAGTACCCAGGCCCTTCCCTGAGGGTGCTGGGGCCCTGGCCACCACCTCTGGTGCAGGCGCAGGAAAGGAAGCCACCTCAGGGCTGGTCCTCTTCGGAGCACCATCTGAACACCGTCTGAGCACCCTCACTTTCGCTGACGCCCTACAAGGCAGCGCTGTCACTGCACACACCTCAGGGATGAAGGAACCAAGTCAGAGACTTATATCTTGTCCAATGTAGGCCAACAAACAAAAGTAAAAGAGCAAGGACACATTCCTCCGAGGGCATTTCCCACGAGCTCAGGCTAACCCTGGAGTCACAGGGGGACTTTGCTGCTGTGTTTAGGATGTCACTCCCCCCTCTCTAGCTATAAATAGAAAAAGCCACCTGCAAGTCCACTTTTGTAACAGCATGAGGTCACCCTTTCTGAGCAGCCGTCAACTCAGGCAGAATCATGGCTACTATGTTGGGCCCATTCTGACACCAGTGAGCACTGGGTTGTCACGGGAGGTCCAAGGGGCGTCTGTGCTCACATCTCAGGGCACCTTCCCTGCGCAGCCACGTGGGCAACAGTTCTCCAAACACGCGGCCTCAAGAAGCACAAAACAGGCATTGCGAAACAAAGGAGCCTACAGAGGAATCCTTTGTAATGAAAATAACCACACTTGGATCTGCCGTAAACTGTAGGAAAAATGCCCAAATATGTGCAATCTTTTCACTAACTTGTTTTAAAAAGTGAGTGAAATCCCGACCAGTCCTGACAGCCAAGAAATCACTTTGATGGAACTTGTTCAAAAATAGGACTATAAAGACTGCAGTAGGAATAAGACATTTGTTGTTACAAAAATAGAAACAAAAAAACCAAACTTGAGAGCACGTGTGGGAAGGCGCCCAGACCCTGCGCAGCGCTCAGCCTGGACTCTGGACCTGTAGGTTCACGTCTGTCTCCAGTTCCAGGAATTCCGAGTCACCATCCCGTCCAAGGCTGTTCCCCACCATCCCTCTGGCCCCCGCCATCCTGGGACCCTCTCATTCCCACTCCACGTCCTACTTCCTCCCCAACACTTTCCATCTCCTCTGTGCTGTGTTCTCAGCAAATTCAAAATTATTGTCTTTCAACTCACTAATTCCGTTCTCAGCCACGTTTAGCCTGGAGTTTATCCAGTGCATCAAGTTTTACATCCCAGTGACTATTCTTCATTTCGAGGAATTCTTAAAAACCATCTTTTAAAGATTACTAAATATTTTTGGCATGCAGAGAGTATAGGTAATGAAAACCTGTGTAGTCACTTCCTGTTTTAAGAAATAAAAAATAAAAAGCCTGGTGTGGTGGCACAGCTGTAGTCCCAGCTACTTGGGAGGCACAGGTGGGAGGATCGCTTGAGCCCAGGAGTTTGAGACCAGCCTAGGCAACACAGCAAGACCCCACCTCTTAAAAAAAGAATGAAAGAAAAAATAACAGCTACATCTACAGCCACAACACACCCTGCCCTATACCAGCCCTCTTCTACCCTCTCTAGGGCTAACTCCTGTCCTGAAATCCAGAAGGTGTTTTCCTTGTGTTATGCTATTTATTTAGTAACATTTTATCTGTCTTGGCTGTGTCTGGACTCATAATACCAACTTGACTGGAAGTCAAAAAGTAACATTTTCTACTTTTTCTATAAAAGAAACCTCTGTCAAACTTAAATACGTCCTTTGGTATCTATGGCTCTAGGATCCCTGTGGATACCCAAATCCCCAAACGCTCAAGTCCTGATACAAAATGGCAGAGTATTTGCATATAACCTGTGCACAACTTCCTGTATACTTTACATCATCTCTATATTACCGACAACGTCTAACACAATGCCTACACGTCACTTCATTCATGCGGACTCAACATAGTACTTGGTGTGTGGCAAATTCAAGTTTTGCTCTTTGGAACTTTGTGGAATTTTTTCCCCCAAATATTTCTGATCCAAGGTTGGTTGAATCCATGGGTGCTGATAAAACCCTGCCTGGATGCAGAGGGCCAACTCTATACACACATGCTTTGAAAAACAAAAATGTCCTACCAGGATAAATCTTGATGAATTTATCCGGATCAAGCACATCATCAGAGGTTTTTAAAAATATATTAATAATACGGCATGAAATTAATCGAGTCATCTGAGAATCTTCCTCCAGGGTGGTCAGAATGTGAGGCATCAGCGTTTCCTGCACGTCCTGAATCTGCAACGAGTAAACACAGCGGGGTAAGTCACAGCCAAATCCACCCGAGGATGAAGATCACTGTTTGTGCCCTCCTGCCTGTAAAAGACTTGGTTTTGGTCTTTTACATATATTTTGATACAAATATAATGGAGTTCGGAATGCTATTTTGAATGTCTCACCTAGGAAGTAGACTGGATTCTTGATTTTAAAATTTAGGTAATTTTAACAATTTTTATTTAACTCAGTCAGTTGATTTTTTATAAATATATTTACAACTCCTTAGTGAGGCCTAAAACCTACATACAGTGCAAGTGCATGTGTCTGATAGTTCTAGACTGTTTAACTTAAGGAACAACGCCTGCACACCAGGAGGTGGTGCTCACGCTCCACTCAGGCGCCTGGCAACGCGTCTTCCCCTGGAGCTCCTGCGTCCCCGACAATGCACATCGTGATACCAAAGTACAAACAAAAGCAAGAGCAGAAATATCGAGGCTTTAATGTTTCTGGTCTGTCCCCTAGCTCCTGTGTGAGCTGGAGATGAGTGAAGATGGTACAGGAAGCCTGAGCCTGTCCTCTTCAGCTTGAATCCTGTGGTTAGAACTTGGTCTTGTAAAGAACATTCATTACTTGATCCTTAGAAAGAGGAGATCAAATCCTCATTGAATCCCCAAGATTATCAAAGAAAACAAAATGTTAGCACTGACTCATGGTCCTGGCGTGGGGCTGGCACCTCTGTTCCTGTTGTCGCACCCGCTCCACCCACACTGCAGGCCCCGTTGCCTCCCCCTTCTGAGCACAGCCTCTGCTCGCACAGCTCCCCTAAGTGGAGACTGAGCTGCTGCTCCCCACCCCGTGCGTGTTCCCCGCTGCACAAGGTCTGCCAGGGGCACCGTGGAGGCCAGTGGGCTCTGGCCTGGTGCCCCTGCTCCCACCGAGGATGCCCCAAGAGCTGTACCTGCTTGGCCGACAGGACCTCGCTGTTGGTGAGTGCCCAGAGGCAGGACACGGCGGCTGTGCGGATGGCTGCGGCTGTCCTCCCCGCATGCCACTGCAGATTGGGGACCAGGATGTCCTTTGTCACCGTCTCAAGGTAGCTGTGAAACTGCCTGGAGCCAAGTGCAGAGAGAGATGAGCAGGGCAGACGCTCTCTTTGGAGGAAATGTTTAGTTTGGGAAATGAACTGGGCTGAGGGGAAGCCAGATGGAAACCGAGGATTGGGCAGAATCGAGGGCACCTGCACTTCCCCAGGGAGCCGGCTGCAGGGCCTGGGGCTGTTCCAGCGGTGGGGAGGGGAGACAGCTGCAGTCACAGAGCAGGGGCTGCACTTCCAGGGCTGCGGCGGCCCCTCCTGTGACCCCAGCAAGCCCGAGGGTGTGTTTTCAGCCTTCTCGGCTTTGTCGCCGGAGACTTCAACTTTCACTCCTCCTCGCTCCAAGGAGGCCTGAGCCCGGCGTCCCCATTCCCACCTGTGCCCACCCTGCAGACACAGGCCCATCGGGTGCCTCTGGCCATAAGGTGAGGCCAGAGGGCTCTGAGCACAACAACTCGGGGATGGGACATTCTTGCCAACAGTCAGGCGACTTTGTTTCGATGGTGACCAACCAGTTTGACATTCCATCAAGACTAAAATAAAGAAAAATAAAACAAGAACGCCCAAGCCCTGTGTTTTCACTTTGCCTGCCTGGCTTGGCGCTGCATTAGTACCACACATGGAGTGCCCTGTTAAAAACTACGCCGAGAGAAGCCTTCGTATTTCCTACTGACCCCACTGCACCTACAGGCCTCCACTGGCAGATCAAAGACATGTTTAGTTGAACAAATAACTCATATCCCGACATCATTCCAAAGTACGTTTCCAGGGTGGCTCAAGTCTCCAATACCAGCTATTTAGCTGAATCCCAGAATGTGCCAGAGACTACACCGCATGCCCTGCCCAGAGGTGTCCCTGACCCTGCCAGCCGCGGCCCCTCAGCTATGGCTGTGTTGGCTTCCAGCAGAGGCATTTCAGAACCAACAGCAAAGCGAAAAGGAACAAATCTGGAAAGCTGATTTGGTGCAGGATGATTTGCACACATTCAATTAGGTTTTTAATTGTTTTAATTTTTACACAAAGAGCTGCCATTTCCTGTGCAGCGATTTACAAGAGGACTCTTTGGAATGACTTAACCCTGAGCCCACCTCCGAGGTAATCGACGCAAGGTGGCCTGGGACAGTCAAAGGGCGCAAGTGCTGGCTGGGCCACAACACGGAATAACAGGCCACAGCCACACAGACACTGCTTCTAGCATAGACTGGAACCCTCCACCTGAACCGTCAAAATGATGGAGAGTAAAAAAAAAGCAGCATGTTACTTTCAAACAATGAATTCTATTGCATACAGGAAGCTGCACACCTGTGCCCGGACCAGGTCCCTCTAAGATAAGATGTGCCAGGGAAACCTGCCCAACAGGCTCCTTCAAAACATGACCACCATTCGGGGGCCGTGCTCTGTCGAGAGACCACATTAAGTGGGCAAAGTGTTCATTAAAATCATGCATATTGCCTTTGCCAGCAAATGATTTTACTCCGAGGCTGTCAACATTTTCCTGGGTCTCAGCCCACAGGAACGGAGCCCTGGGGAGGACGTCTCGGCCACGGCGCCTCCTTGCTGCTTGTCTCCGTTGGATTCTCCATAGGCATCTCAACAGGAGCTCTGGCAACAGCACAAGGCATGAGAAAGGCTGGTGTCACCTGGGAGAGGCAGCCGTGTGAATAGGGAGGCCCAGGCCCAGTGAGGGCTGCAGGACCGGACAGTGCAGCCAGGAGCCCGGAGGGCACACGGCAGAGGCCCATGCGGTGGCTGACACTCTGGGCTCTGCACCCGAGGGCCTCCTATTTACAGAGGGGATCGTGAGCTCACTAGAGGGTTACAGTCCCAGAAATGGGTATATCCTCAGACCAGGAGCCCCTGCTCCGAATTTCCAAGCTGTTTGTTTCTTTAGCACTTCTGTCAGATATAGGACAGGCATCCTTAATCCAGAAGTCCAAAATCCAAAATTGTTTGGGCGCTGACATGACGTGCAAAGGAAATGCTCATTGGAGCATTTTGGATTTTCAGATTAAAGGTGCTTAAGTATGATGCAAATATTCTGAAATCCCAAAAAGTGTGAAACACTCTGGTCCCGAGCATTTCAGATAAGGGAAACCAACGCGTATGAGGACAACTGTGGAACCTTTAATGATCCACGTGAGTCCAAGGTGGAAACCGACCCTTTTCGGGCACCCAGACCTCCCGAGCACCGCTGCAGCGAGTGCCTGCACTGCCGGCACAGAATGGGGGCCTGGACAGGACGGTTGGCACGATTCCCTTCCTGTTGTTTCTATTTAGCAGGGCCAATTAGACATTGTATCTAATCTATCATTTTATAATCCTAAAGATCAAAACCAAATGGATTTTTTAAATCTTTCTTGCCTGTAAAAAAAAAAAAAGCTAATAATTTGACTAAAATAACTGTAATTTGAATAACTTACTTCTAATACCAGTTTCTTTCCATAAGAAGTCTTTAAGTGCAGTTTCTTTTGGGAACTTAGCTCAAGCTTAAAGGCTGTATTCATTAACTCTGTTCTGCATAGAACCTATTTCACTGCTCCTCACAGAATCAGCTGAGCTCTGAGAGGGTATAACCTGGACCCCACCACCTGCCTGTGTACCATCTACACAGCTATCTGCCGCTAACAGGATGGTGGCCAACATGCTCAGTTAGTGTCTTGTGGTCCCTCCTAAGCCTTGAAAGTTTTCAGACAAGCAGGAAACAAGATTCCTGCCATGTGATAGCTGAGGCCCAACTGCAGAGAGGTGTGGGTGACAGGCAGAGGAGGGAAGTCTGTGGGACCAGGTTCTCTGCATGAGACACTTCAGTTTGTCACCACACTAGGACAATCCCCTGCCTGCAGGGGAGGGGCCCAGTGCCAACAGAGCCCAAACCGCTCAAGCTAAGCTCACGGCATCTCTGTCCTGCTGGGACCCGGTGGGGAAGGCTGGGGTGTGACCAGGGTGACCCTGCACACCTGTTGACTTAACAGAGGAAACTGGGGGGGCCCTAGAGCAGCCTCGGAGGCACTGAGCGGGGCCTCTGCCCCACAGCAACTCTGGACTCCCCTGGACCCTGGAAGCCTCCCCCAGAGGACGCGTCCTAAGGGGCTCCGGCAGCAGGTTCCAGCCCAGTACTCGCTCCTCCCTCCCTGTGCTTCTCTGAGCCCTTTCTGTTACTGCACAGCCATAAAACCAGAGGCCCTTAATGGTTTAACGCTAACTACAAGTTCTTTTATGGAACAGAAGGTATTTCTACGGCTTTAACCATCAATGGTGATTCAATCAATTCTGTCAGGTTTGAAAGGTACCAAAATGCTTTTAAACCCCGGAATAGCCAATATATATCCCATTAATAGTTAATGTTCCCTAAAACTTTTTCATTCAATGGAATTTTAATGACCGTACTACATCGACTTTGATTTAGTGTTTCTCTGTGCAGTGCATTCACTGCCAGCGACCCTGCTATTTACCCAGCAAGGACAGGCGTGTCGCCGCACACAGGCCACCCAGAAGCCCAGGGGTCACTCCATGCTCTCTCAGACCTCGGAGTGAGGGGAGGGAGATGGGGGACCCCGGCCCAGCCCCCAGGTGGGGCCGCACGGACAGAGAAACCGACCTACCCCTGGGAGTCCACGGTGTCCTTTGCTCGCAGCAGCAACTTGGACAGGACGGAGAAGAGCTTCAGGCGCATCTGGGGGTCTCTGGTTGGCTGCAGACAGGCCCTGAGAGTGGGGACCACGTGTTGCAGAGCCTCTCCGAGGGAAGGGCCTGGAAGACA